TCCAGGGACTGACTAGAGGCCAAAGCTTTCCCTGCCCCCATCCCAATTTCTTGTGTTATCTACAGCAAAAGAATGAGAGCCTCCTCTGACTGCTAGTGTGCTACCACTTCTTTGGGTGCAGCAGGAACTGTGTGGGTAAGTTATTGTTATATTGTGCTCCTTTGATAAATGGACCTTTGTGAGACACTTTTCACTCTGTGTGTGCTGGGGGAGAGGGAGGGAGTCCTGCCTGAGTGACTTCTCACAGAAAGCCCCAGAGGTGCTTAGTGCTGATAGCCTAGGCCTGGCAGGCTTCTCTTTCATTGGCACTCAAGGGTGTCAATCACTGTGGCCCTGCCAATCAGCTCTAAACTAGGTATCTGTAAGTGATTAGCCTTCTTTGTTAAACAGAACACTGAACCCTCTAAAGACTAAACAAAGAATGGCTTAGAAAAGACATTCCCTAGGTGGGCTGGGGCAGACATGACAGTGTCACTAACTGGAAACCTTTTGGTTTTGCCCTCCTTCCCTGGGCCTTGTCTCTATTTCTTACATCTAGGCCAGTCCTAGCTCCTTTCAATTCTACCTCTTTCATTTTCCTCCCATGTGCATTTCTTCTCTCCTCCCCACTGTAGCTTCCTTTGTTCTGCCCTCAACACCTCTAACACTACTAACCAGTCTCCTAAAGAGTCTCTCTGCCTTCAGTCTTGCCCCTTCCAACCCAATCTCTGCGCTGCAGACAAATCAATGTAAAAATACAAATCGGATTGTGTCACATCCTCCTGAAAATGTTTCAACCTCTTCCATGGTTCCAAGTACCTCTGGGACAAAGTCCAAAATACTTAGCATGGTACCCAGGACCCTGCAAGATTTGTCTCTTGACAAATCCTCAGGCTGCTTTTTTTGCAGTGCTCCACTTCACTCCTAGTCACAGTAAACATTGCAGGTTTCTGAACATGCCTCTTTTGGCTTTGCTGCTGGGTCTTTTCACATGACTTCCCTTTGCCTGGGATATTCTTCATGCACTGCTTTCTCTGCTATCTGTCTGGCCAGGTCCCATTCATCCCTTAAATCTTCAACTAAACTCTCTCAGTTAAAAAAAATAATTTACTCATGTCTGCATTGCTAATGCCTACTATAATACACAGGGCATAACAGATCCTCAATAGTGTTTGACAAGTGAACAAATGAACACCCCACCTCATGTGGCTGTGTGCAAAATCATCTTTCAGGGAAACTGGCTGAATCTATTGATCCCTCCTTCTATGAAAGAGAGACCACTCTTCAATTTCATCCAATTGCACTGGGTTGCAAATCCTTCTCTAATATGACTGCCTCCCCCAAACACCCATCAGCTGACAAACAGATAAATAAGATATGGGGTTTTTAATACAATGGAGTACTACTCTGCCATAAAGAAGGATGAACTTGAGACATTTACGGCTAAATGGATGCACACCTTGAGACCACACTCTTAAGTGAAATAAATTGGACGCAAGTTTAAATACTGCATTGTTTTTCTGGTGTGAGAAACCAAAAGTGGAAATAAGAACTAAAATGTGCAATAGACATTGGAAAGCAGGAAGAAAATATTGAAGTGGGAAGGGGAACAAGGAGAAGGAGGAAAGAAGAGACAAAAAAAGAGAAAATCATAGGAAAAAATGGAAACAAAGCTTTTGTACATAAGGGGAGGAATGGGGGAGAAAAGAAGCAAGACGTATCATGTACTGGTACAAATTCCCTGTGATGAATGCTATTGTTATGCACATCTAAAATGTTTTGCTAGAAAAATTTAAAAATTAAAATAATAATATGACTGCCTCCCTAACTCACTTGTGAGCATCTCAAGAGCAGGGCTATATTTGGCCCACCTCAATGTCCTACCGACACCCGAGCACAGTGCTTGAACACAATGAAAGAACAGACCTCTCAAATGCTTGACCGTTTTATCCCTGTCTCATCTCACTTTACTTCCCCACAGACGCTCTCCATCAATAGCTCCATAGCACTACACTGTCACATTCACAGCTTCACAAACATTCAAAGCTGCTCCCCATCACTGAAGTTTTCATCTGCATTCCTCTTACCTGGAATGCCCTTCCCACTCACCCACCCAAATCCTGTACTACTTTAGGAATTAGCTCCAAGTATTCTTCCAAAAACCGTTCATGCACCCACTCTAGTCTACCTCTGAGTAGTTCTATTATCAATCCCCACCCATCTCATTTAACCCGTGGCATCCCCTCATGCTATATAGGAGAAAACCACGACTCAGAAAGGAAAAAGGGCTGGGGGAAGGAATATTGTTTACTGGCGCTGCCCTGCCTCTCAAGCACAAGATCCTGAGTTCCATCCCAGCCAAAAAAAAAAAAAAAAAAAAAAAAAAAAGGACTCAAAGCTCCCTTTTATAAACTATAATTGCCCTTAAGGCAGGACTGTTGTCTTGCATACGTTCATCTTTCCAAGGCCTTACTGTAGTGTTAAAGAACTCTAGAGTCAGACTGTCTGGGTTTCTACCTCGGCTGCACCTTAGATCACTTAATCACCCTAAAACCTTAGCTTCCTCACCTACACATGAAGATGACAGTAGAGACTATCTTACACTATTGTTGTAAAGATTAGATAAGTAATGTATGTAAAGTGACTAAAGCCGTACCCAGCACATAGCATGTGTTCCATAAAGGCTATTTTCTTTACTGTTATTATTTTTAGTATTAACAAATCCTTGCTGGCAATAGCTAAAAACTAGGTGAGAGTTTCAGAAAGTAGGAAGGAGGGAGGAAAGGAAGTAAATCATAGGGGCAATCTGAGATTTTGTGGAGTCCAAACAAGGTTAGCGGCGCCGCAGGACGTTTGTACGTCCGAGTTCCTAGTACCATGTGACTTTGTGAGGGCCCCAGCACATGGTTCCATCCCGGCGGCGCAGCTTCCCTAACTCTCGCTCAGCTATTCCCAGTAGCCTGTAGGGGGAGCCAGGAAGCCAAGACAGGATTAGGGGGAGGTTGCTGGAAATCTTCCTAAGGACAAAAAAACGACACCCCACCACTACTACCCATCTTAGCCCGCTACCTTGCCCCTTCCAGGACGCTCTCCAAGCTCGGTCGTCTTCCGTAGCTAAACTGGGAGCTGTCCTTCAGCACCAGGAGCCGCCTTAGCCTCGGGCAGGACAGTGAAGGCGACCGCAGAGTTAGGGACACGGGACTGGTCCGATCCGCAGCCGGCTCCAGTGTCTCCTAGTCACGGGGGTGGGGGAGGCGACCCAGGGATGTAGTGAGACGCTATGGAGATGTCTCCTGTCTTCTGCTTCCAAGAATCACCCGCAGAAGTCCCCGAGCCCTCGGGGTGGGG